CCAAAAGGGTTTGGGAACATTCATATGGTGCATGAGTGAGCGTGCCGTTTTTACAAGATGTCGGTTCTTTCTCTCCGCAACCCCATTTTGTTGTGGGGTGTAGGTACAGGAAGTTTGGTGTATAATGCCATGTTGGTCCAAGTATTCTTGAAAAGATGAAGATAGGTATTCACGACCATTATCAGAACAGAAAATTTTGATGTGAATGCCAAATTGATTGCGGATCTCAGCATAAAATTTCTGGAAGATGGTAAATAATTCATTTCTTTCTTTCATTAAATAGAGCCACATCATTCTTGAAAAGTCATCAACAAAAATAACAAAATATTTGTGTCCATTATATGACATCACTTTATAAGGACCCCAAACATCTGAATGAATTAAAGAAAAATGACTCGACACACAGTTATCAACCCTAGAATTAAAGGGAACACGATAGTGTTTTCCAAATTGACATGACTCACAATCAAGAACAAAAAGTTGACTCAATGAAGGAACCAAGGACTTCAATACTTTCAGTGAGGGGTGATCAAATCTACAATGCCACTGGAGAGGAGAAATAGATGACTGAAGGGCCATTAACGTTCTTCCACCACCATCAAGATAATACAGTCCACCGGCTTCATGCCCTCCACCAATCTTCGTCCCCGTCTTGAGATACTGAAAAACACACATAGAGGGGTAAAATGTAACAAAGCAATTAAGGAACTTGGTCAGTTTACTAACAAACATAAGATTAAATGGAAGCTTAGGTACATATAAAACAGAGGATAGGGACACAGGGTCTAGGTCAACATTACCAACACCACGAATAGATGATATAGAGCCATTAGCAAGGGTAACAGATTGTGATGTTGGGCAATGAGTGAGAGATGAAAACATACCTAGAGTTCCCGTCATGTGATCGAAGGCTCCAGAGTCAATAATCCAGGGGTTGAGTGTGGATGCCAAACAAACCATACCTGAGTGTGCAAAGGTAGTTATGTTTTGCTATGACGTGGATTGAACAAACCTTTCATACTCATCACGAGGAACACTCACCATCTCCTTGCCTGGACCATCTGGAGAGGTAGAAGGCATCTGGTCAACTGACCGGTTCTCCTATCTAAAGCTGGAACTGGTGTCACTAGTCATGGCATGGTTGGCCCACGTCGAGGGTGGACCATGTAAGTCATAACAGTAGTTAATAGTATGTCCATCCAACCCACAATGAATACACCTCCGTGGACCCGAGCCACGTCCTCTACCATGAGTTCCCCCTGAATCTCAGCCTCCAGTACGACCACCACCATGGATATGTGTAGATCCACCACTATCACTCCGGCCATACACTAGACCACTACTGCCACCACGGCTAGGCTGGGCTCCTCGAGCCCCACTTCTACCACCTCGTCCTCTCGACACTGCAAATGCTGATTTATCTGAGATATTAAAGTTTTCCATAGATCTAATGGAAGTCCTCCGAAGACGAGCAAACGCCTCTAAAGATGGAATGACAGATCTTCCTAGTATCTGGGCTTGTACTGGTTCATACTCAGACTTTAGCCCCACCAAAAATCGAGTCACATCAAGCTGCTCTCGCTGTTGCTATTGAACCTTGACATCAGAAATGAGAGGGTGATAGACATTTAGCTCATTACGAATATTTCTCATATTGGCATAGTACTCCTCAAGGCTCTGATTTCCCTATTGCAGATTGAAGAATTTCTGATATAGTTGATATACCCTAGTTGTATTATCCTGACCAGAATACAATTTCTTAGCATGATCCCACACCTCTTTGGCTGTATCAAGAAACATGAAGTTCACACTGATTCTGGGTTCCATACTGTTCCACAACCATGTGATAATTTGTGCATCTTCCTGTTCTCAGTCTTCATACTCTTGAGAATTAGTGGGGGGTTTCTCCTCTCTTATGTGCTTTACCTTCTTCTTCGCCTTCATAAAAACCTCTACAGACTTGGCCCAAGTGACATAATTTTCTCCATTTAGTTTAATGGAGGTCATTTGGACATTCAGGTAGTTAGTAGATATCATCACACTAGGTTTACTATCACTGTTATCTCCCATTGTCGAATTCCCTTATCACTGAATCTTGAACACTACACACTGCACACTACACACAAACACTCATCGCCTGAAGACTAACCACACGAAGGAATGAAATACCACTGCACCACACGCACCAGCCCTACATTAATTAGGGGAGGGCTTAGAAACCATAGCAACCAATCACCAACGACACCACTGAAGGCATATAAACCTCCAAGGGAAGAAGGCGATCACTCCTTTTCAGCCCTTTTCCCAGTCTCCAACCAACAACTGAGAAATCCAAGAGAGACCCTAGTTCGAATGCATAGAAAACAAAATTCTAGCAGGTCTGATTTGTTTGATGTTGCTCTAATACCATGTTAAAGTTCGGCCTGCCCTAGAAGTTTGTTTTGTTTGTTAGCTGAAAAGTAAAGTAAACAGCAAGAAGGAAGAGAGAAAAGAAGAAGGAAGAAAGAGGAAGGAGAAGAGAAAAAGTCTAGTTCGAAATTAGGAAAAGTTAACCCTTGTTTCGGCCAGACCTGTTATTGTATTATTAATGTAATTGGAAAAAACCTAAGTGCCCTTATTTAAGTAAGAGGCACTCGAACTAACATAATAGTACACATCAGCACTCTCAATAAGTACAAAGACCTAAATACCCCTTCACTAACATACTTTTTATATGTCAATTGGCTATTGTATTTGAACAATTTGTTTTGGATATTATAACAATTAATTTTTAAATAATAGATTTTGTTTTAAATTACATTTTTTATTTAAGTTGTTTTTATCAATTGTCATCAGATTTTTATTAAGCAAGTATTAAAGTGTAGATGCAAAAAAATGTTGGAATTAACCTAGTATAAAATAAAATATAACAAGATATAAACCGGTGGTCATTCAATTGTAGGTTTACTAAGGCGATAGTCATGTGGAACCTAAGCCGGTGGTTCAGATTGCCGCCTAAAAGTGTAAGCGACATTTGATACAACCTAAGGCGGCGGTCATATGAAATATAACCTGGTAGTTCAGACCGCCACCTTAAAGTACAAGTATCATTTGGCATAGCCTAAGGCGGCGGTTCAAACCGCCACCTAAAATCATGTGACGTATGGCACAGCCTAAGGTTGCAGTTACATGGGACCAAAGCTAGCGATTCTGATCGCCACCTAAAAGTTAGAGTAGTTTGGCACAACCTAAGATGATGGTCGAAAGCCGCCGCCTTTATTCATGCTAAGCCGGCAGTTCTGACTAACCACCACTTTAGCGCATTTTGAACCATCTCAAACCAACCATCAAAGGTGGCAGTCTTTTTCAGCTGAATCGACAGTCTTGATCTAGGCCGACAGTGGATTAGGGGGCAGGTGCCTAACTGCCGCCTTAGATCTATGGCCGCGGTCTGAAGGCCTAAGCCAGCAGTCATGCGACCACCGGCTTTGACCATTTTTCTTGTAGTGCATGTTGCTATAAATTATTGCCTATACTTTTAATAAAATATCTTCAGTTACTTATCAAAGAGAAAAAGAGTTGCAACCAAGCTCTTCCCATATATGCCTTAATGATGAATAATAATTTGTTAAAGATGTCTCCCTTTTTCTATGACAGAAAATCTTTTAATTTAATTAATAAATCTAAGCAAAGCTTTTCACTTGGGAAAATGTCTCTTGCACCCCACTGCCTTGACAATCTTCAGAAACAATAAGCCACTGTTGATAGAGTTCACATCTCCGCCCCATAGAGCCGCCCCACAGCACATCCCCACCGTGTATTGGAAACATCTCCCGATGATGACATCATCAAAACTAGTATTATCATTAGGAGATGTTCCCAATACACGGCGGGATGTGCTGTGGAGCATTGTGGGCGGCTCCTTGTGGGGCGGAGATGTGATCTCCTGTTGATACTAGGTCGCATTGAATTAAAGAGCATAATCATCAAAATTTCAGTGTCCCAGATCTCATGAGTTGGATCATCCTCATCAGGCTCAACAATCTTCCCTATATGAGATATCCAAGCTCCTCTTTTCCACCTATAAAACAGACAAGATACCATTGAAGATATTTTATTCCATCAATCTTTACAATAATAATTTAAATTCCAATGTTCTCCAACATTGATGAAAGGATGCCAACGTTCAAGAGACATACTCTTGGAGGATACAACTATGCAACTTCTACTTCCGGTCATCATAAAAACTGAAAATGACGACAAAATGATCAAAGAAACCAAATACCAAGTCCGACACACCCATATACAAAACTAATCAATAGCACGAATTTTACGACTAACCGACAAAGACTTGCACCGGACCTATATGACTAGAAAGGGTTATACCAAATCAAAAAAATAAATCACCAAAACCTTCCCCAAGGTAAGACAGCATTCAACTCTCGTCCAATCAATCCTTGGACTGAGAAACCAATTCAAAAGAGGAAAAAAGGGCTGGGTGGCAAAACAGAAGAGAAAAAATAGTTACTGAAAATTCCTAGTAACTCAAAATTGCCAAATCAAATCCACCCTGCAGACACGCAAGGGGACAAACAAAACAATCTCCATGAAAAAATTCCACTCAAATCGAGACATAGGAGTGATTGACTGCAATAACTATTTTCTACCATTTTCTCAGGAAAATCCTTAAAAAAGTACTGACTCATACATTGTGTATGAGACTTGCATAAAGGGAACTTTACAAAACTTGCATCTCATATATGTCAGGTACACCTGATAATGTCCTTAATCTGTACATATGACACCAGAAAACCATCTGATGAAAATAATGCTTTAGATCGTAAAAATGATGTTCCCATAACAAGTTGATTTATTTGGATAGATTTACTTACTAATTTAGGGTTAGAAAAGTAGAAGATGAAGAAGGAAAAAAAGAAAAGAAACAGAAGAGAAGGGTTGGGCATGAATGAATGAATCCCTTGCCCGTTTCTCAGTATTTTTAAAACGAGAAAAATAACATGTAATGACAAAACAGATCCTGCAAAAAATATAATGACCTAGAAATCTAACTCAATAGAATTACCCAAAATATCCTCCAATACACATGCAACCATGTGAATAGTTTACCCTTACCTTGTATATATGGGAAACTTCTTTTGAGAGCTATAAGGGATTTTTTTTTGTTTTAAATGTTAAAACTGAGTAATCAATATAGAAACAAGTTTCTAACGCTAATATTCCTGACTGCAAATCTTCTTCAAGTGTGCTACGGTTTGCTAAGAATGCTTGTAATAAGTTGTCCAAGCTCTTCACCACTGTCCTCCTGGACATGATGCCCTGCCTGCATGAACCAATAAGTTAACTGATTTAATTTCATATCATACTTTACTTAAAAAATAGACTTTAAAGTGGAAAACAAAACAAAGGGTTACTTCCATTTTCTAAGCAGTTCATGCACTGTCTAAATGTACACAACTTGAAATCACAGATCAGTCATTGAACGTGGAGGTTTTATTGTTGGTCCAATATGGCAGAGCTACAGATCTAACCCCAGTCAATAAACTCAGGGTGCCTAAAACAACAACAAATTGAATGGAGTTAAATATATAAATTGAGCACTAATTCTCCAATTCTCTCCTTGTCATCCCTTTATCTTCCTCTATTTTTCTCCACTCTCCAGTTCTCACTTCCAACTCCACCGTCACCATCACCATCTCCTCTAATCTTATATCTTGTATCCATGGTCTATAAAATCCAAGCAAGAACACTAACAGAAACCTAAGGAAACACTTGGAAAGGAGAAAAAAAGCCTTCTTGCCAAAGAGCAATGTAGCTTCTTTCTTGAGTTTTGGCTCCGCACAAAGCATGCCCTACAGCACATCACACCCATGCATTGGGAACATCTCCCGTACTTTTAATGGGGAGATGTTTTCAGTGCACAGGTGCGACGTGCAGTGGGGTGCACTCTGTGGGGAGCCCATGCACTTTCACCAAAGGTTTGGGTGGTGTTAGCATTGCTAGACATGGCCTAAAATGTTGAACTCAAGGAAAATCCCTTCATGTCCAAACAAACTAAATCCTAAGTGGGTTGTGTGCATTTCTTTGGTGGTTCATTGTGTGAGAAAGTGAATAGGTATATGGCAATAGCAGCCTAGCAGGACCGTGATACCCCATGGAATAGTAGAGATCTTGATGAGTTTAGCTGGATAATTTTAAGGATCTTGCACAGTCATCAAGGATCATAATGACTTGTCAATAAGACAGAAGAAATGCAATCTCGCTAAACCTAGCAAGATCCCACAGTAAGGAATCCACTACTTCTAAGTAACATGTGATCTCACACAAGGGAAACTTCGCCCAGATCACTCAATATAATGGCAACATGGGATCTTGCACAGGACAAGTATACGCTTCGAGAGAATCTATTTAACGCAAGATCTATATTGAAAGGCAATTGCAAGAGGTGTCCAGAATGAGAGCAGGTCTGCTACAGCAGCTTTGGTTCAAGCTTTTATTCAAGTTCAGAACACTGACATTCAAGCTTCCTAATCCTACTGTTGAAGACCACATAAAGGACTGTTTGAAGGCTCTTCTGCTCAGTACAATTACAGCACCTTTTTTCTGATTTTTCACCTTTCAGGTTGGATTTCTTCGTGTGCTCCTAGATTCTGAGTCACCCTAGGCCCTAGAACTTGTCCATTCTTTTGGACAGGAGTTCATACATGATTTAAAGGGTTTTGATACCTTTTTTATCTTTGACAGACCAGCAACTTGTCTTTTTCTTGGACTGTTATATTCTGGAACTATTTCAGACTTGTTCGAATCTGTATTTTCATCTCAGGACGGCTGTTCCGTTTTCTACAATATTGGGGGTCATTTTCTTGTGAGAACTGCTCTCTTTGGTGCTGAATCCCCCCATCCCTTTGTTATTTACATCTTGAAGTCTGATTTAGGTTGGATTACAGCAAGGGTTTTCTTTATTACTTGCCTTAAGATCATATTTTCCTGCTGTGGAGTGTGATCTCTTGGTGTTTTTCTTGCTAAAATGGCTACTAATAGAGCTCTGGCCCATTCATCTTTGGTGGATAGAAGCCCAATTGATCAAATCCAGGAGGCCAAGGGTACAGCACCTCTAGCGCCCATAAAATATCTTTACACCAGAAAACCATGTTCGAAGCCCTCCTAGAAGCATGTCCCTTTTTGCATGATTTGTAATGATGCCTATATATATGACACTTTTATCAATGAAATGGCATGAGAATTAGGTCAATTCTTCTGTTCCCTTCCCCTCTCTTCCCCTTTTTCATCCTAGGAGGTCGGGTCTCTCTCGAAGGGATCCCGGAGGTGAGAAGTAACTCACCAACTAGTATCAGAGCTTTAGTAAAGGAATTGGCGACCCAGCATGCCATCCACCAAGTCATCTTCCATCGAGGAGCGCATGGATAAGCTCGAGACAGATATGCACAAGGTGCTGGGAGATCTCAAAGAGATGTGTAAATAGACAGATATGCACAAGAAGAAGAAGAAGAGAAAGAGGATAAGGGTTCGGCCAAAAGAGAAAAAGTCACTCTACCCAGCCGACCCAGTTTGTATTTATATTGAATAAGTTGAATTACAAAAGACAATATTGTCCCTTACTAGAGATGGGACACAACTTAAACTTGAATAAAGCAGACCATTCACTTCTAATTAGATAGACAAAAGACCAAAGTACCCTTGTACTGTCGACACTCTAACACTCCCCCTCAAGCTGTAGAATATATGTCATTAAGTCCCAACTTGTCACATATGTAATCTACTCTGCCCCGAGTGAGCCCCTTTGTAAATAGATCTGCCCATTGGTTTCCTGAACTCACATGAGATGTAGTTATCACTCTACTAATCACTTTTTCTCTTACAAAGTGGCAATCGACTTCAATATGCTTTGTTCTCTCATAGAAGGCTGGATTAGAAGAGATGTGTACAATAGCTTAATTATCACAGTATAACCTCATGGGTCTATCAATTGAAAACCCCATTTCTTGTAACAAATTCTTCAACCATACTATTTCACATGTAGTATGAGCCAGAGCTCTGTACTCAGCTTCTACATTGCTCCTTGCCACCACTATTTGTTTCTTGCTCTTCCAAGTTACCAGATTGCCACTAAGGATGGCACAATATCGTGTAGTTGACCTTCTGTCTAACACAGAACCAGCCCAATCAGCATCTATATACCCTTCTATCTCAAGAGTTCCTCCACTTTTGTATAACAAAGCATGACCTGGAGCACCCTTCAGATGCCTAACTATTCTTAGAACTACTTCCCTATGAGGGAACCAAGGGTGTTGCATAAACTGACTCACCATACTTACAGCAAATGATATATCTAGTTGTGTGATAGTTAGATAGTTCAATTTTCCCACCAACCTCTTGTACCTTCCAAGATCATCAAACTCTTCATCTGCATCAATACTCAACTTAGCATTTGGTTCTATAGGTGTCTCGGCTGATTTGGCACCTAACAACCCTGTTTCTTCAAGCAGGTCAAGAACATATTTCCTTTGACATAAGTTAATTCCATACCTTGACCTTGCAACTTCTATTCCCAGGAAGTACTTCAGCTTACCCAAATCTTTCGTGTTGAAGTGATCCTGTAGGAAGTTCTTCAATCCGTCAATCCCATTGCTATCACTACCAGTTATGACAATATCATCCACATACACCACTAGTAAGATATTCCCATCTTTTGAGTCATGGCTGAACACGGAATGATCTACCTGACACTGTTTCATAACAAAGTTCTTCACTACTTCACTGAATCAATCAAACCACGCACGTGGAGATTGTTTCAGCCCATAAATTGCCTTTTTAAGTCTACAAACTTTACCATCCTTCCTCTGAGCAACAAACCCTGGTGGTTGCTCCATATATACCTCCTCAATTAGATCACCATGTAAGAAGGCATTCTTGATGTCAAGTTGCAAAAGAGGCCAGTCATACATTGCTGCTAATGAAATCAATACCCGAACTGAACCAATTTTAGCCACAGGAGAGAATGTCTCCATATAGTCCACACCATATAACTGAGAATAGCCCTTGGCCACTAACCTGGCCTTTAATCGTTCCATACTGTCATCTAGAAGATGTTTCACTGTGTAAACCCACTTACACCCAACAACATGCTTACCGGGAGGGATAGTAGTAAGTTCCCACGTGTGATTGTGTTGTAAAGAAAACGAGTCCTCTTCCATTGCTTGTCGCCACCCTGAAGAGGTAAAAGCTTCCTGGACAGTTTTGGAAGTGGAAACAAAAGATAGAAAGGACAATAAATGGCGATGGATAGTAGAAAGGTGAGCAACTAAAACATAATGAGAAATAGGATGAGATGCACAACTACGTTTACCTTTCCGCAATGCAATAGAAAGATCAAGGTCCGAAGGAGGAGGTGCAACCACAGAATCTGTCAACGAGGACTGAACTAGAGGAGGGGTCAGTGCTCTTCTGTGAGTCTACACTTGTTGGATTGGTGGCCTCTCAGTAGTTACCTACACGGGAGGAGGGGATGGAACAGGAACCATGGGAAGGGGATCCACAACCGGAACAGGAACCATGGGAAGGGGGTCCTCAACTGGAACAAGAAGTGGAACCACAAGGAAGGAGAAGGAACCTCAGGACTCGAGAAAAATGGAACTGACTCAAAGAAAGTGACATCTGAACACACAAATGACTTATGAGAGTTAGGGTTATAGAACTTATACCCTTTTTGGGTTCTGGAGTATCCAAGGAAGATGCATTTAGTAGCACGTGCATCTAACTTGTCTAAACCAGGCCCTAAATTTTGAACAAAACAAACACACCCAAAGACTCTAGGGGTAAGAGGAAATGGAAACAGAGTGGGAAACAACACGAAGAAAGGGGATTGACTTCCAAGGATGGACATGGGCATCTGGTTGATGAGGAAACATGATGTTAGGACAGCATCACTCCAAAAACGCTTTGGGACATTCATATTAAGCATAATGGACCGAGTAGTTTCAAAGTAAGTGTCGGTCTTTCCATTCAGCCACACCGTTCTATTGTGAGGTGTAGGAACAGAAGTTTAATGAATTATCCCATGGTGCTCTAAGTATTGCTGAAATGGTGTTGAGGTGTACTCTTTTGCATTATCGGAGCAAAGAATTTTAATATGAACTCCAAATTGGGTATATATTTCAGCATAAATTTTTGAAAAATAGAGAACAATTCACTTCGATCTTTCATAAGATAGAGCCATGTCATCCTTGAAAAGTCATCAACAAAAATTACAAAATACTTGTAACCATTGTATGACACCACTTTATTTGTACCCCAAACATCTGA